AGTATATATATATATATTATAAAGATATAGCATCGGCTGGCCTGGCGCTCACAGCAATGCTTGCAGAATACGTAGTAGTCATATCCTCACGTAGGCAACGCAAGTCTGATGACAGAGTTTCAACATGCAGGCCTTCACCGCCCTCTTGCAAGAACGCCCATCCCGGCTTATTCTTGTTCTTCGCCTTGGCAAGAACTACGGAACATGGCCAGTTCTGATCGTGAGTGTTTGCCTGTATCAAGTGCTCAAACACCGTGGCATCGTTTGACCTTGGCAAGGTGAAGGGGCACACAATTTCTGTTGACGCAGGCCAATCCGTTCGAAGCCGTGCTCAACGATAGGGCACGCGCTTGTGAACATGTTGGGCCGTCTTCTCAATGGTCTCAACCAAGCTATTATCCTGGTGCATTGCACTGGAAGGCCTTCACGCACACAAACCTTCCAAATCCTTCCAATAGCTGAAGGTCAGGCCTGTGGAAGCGGTGGTGCCTGTTCATCCACGGTTCCAATCCTGAATGTTTAGCAACGCATGACCAAACGTGGGTGCTTGACCCTTGGCCCTGGACTTCTTCTTTCTCCGCACGGCCTCTTTGGCCGCATCTTGGCCAAGCCTGGCTGGTGCGTTGCGTTGCCGCTCCAGAGTTTGGAGGCACTGCCCACCATGCCGCTGAAAAGAAAGGCGTGGATTTGCAGTGGCTTTCAGTGTCCCTGGAACACGTCGACGTTGGGGAAGACATGGACGCGTACCCGCCGGCCATAAAGCCGAAGGATTGCCTGAACAAAGGGGGGCATCGCAAGCAACGCAACTTGTGTCCTGCACGCGTTGCTGGGTTTGCCGCCCATAACTCCAGTCTTCACGGCGCTTGAAATCAAAGCTTCCATCCCAGCGGTACAGCTTGGACTGGTCAGCCTAAGTGGCAAAAAGGAAATGGACAACTGCACCCCTCTGAGCCTTGGCGCGGTCAATTGCAATGCTATCCTTAAGGCCACAGCCATGCTGTTCCAAAGGCGCGGCAAATGCAAATGCGCGAACGTGGAATGAGGAACGTCTGGGAAAATGGAGGTGTTTCATCAAAGCGTTGCAACCTTCCATAATTATTGTGAATCAACCGAGCGCACCATTTAATTGGTGACGATTGTTTGTCTCGCCTGCCATTGGCTGTACCATGCCACAAGAACTTACGTTGATGTTTGTACGTCTCCTGGGCTCTGTGCTGTCAACTGGAAAGTGCAGTTGTGCAATTCATGCTGGGCATGTGCAAGCAACGAGACAAGGAAACAATGGCACTTAAACATAACGAAGGAATTGTGGCAAACCTCTCCTACCCCAACAATGTGCAAGGCACCGTCAACCGGTCAAACCGTGGCCTGGACAAGTAAGTAAATCAATTCAAGCTAATTAAGTAACAACGAGATACGGTACCCGATCTCCTTGATCCAGGTATGCAAGCTCAAGCAACAAAAACAAATCAACAAAATCAGTTCTACCGGAGGCTCATGGCATGCTTGCCGAACTAATTCCATCCTTGGAAAAGCCGGAGGTTAAGGGTGGTTGGCCACAGCCACACTGGCCATTTAAATCCGCAGGAGTGTGGGAAAGGCGCGATTGTTGGCAGACGGGGAATTCTTTTATCATATGCAAACATTGTGCGATTTTGGTAAATCCAGTTGCCGTCGGCAGCGTCAGTGCCGCGAAGCGGCAAGCCGACGAGGCTCGCCGCCAGGGCGCGCAGCGCCGCGACAGCAAACATGCCCGTCCAACGGCATGCGAACGTACGCGCTGTGGCGGCGCGGGGCAGTTGGGGCTCCGTGCGGGCTGGGCCAATGAGGCCCGCCTCCGTGCCCCAACGCCCCCCAATTTCGACCCCGAACACGACCAGGCGGCAGCGCCGCACGTGAGCGTGGATGCGGCTCGCCGTTGCAGGGGCACACAATGGTGGCGACCTGCAACCTCTACGTCGCGCCCGTTGTGCACAGGGACGTTCGCCGGCCTCGCGAGCGTCAGGGTCCCGGAGCGCGGGCAAGCGTCCCCAGATGCGTCGAGCGCTTAACCACATGGGCACTGCCGCGGGCAAGCTGGAAGAGTGGGGGCAGCTGGCGCAGCAGAGCAACACGGAACAGGTCGTCGGGGAGGGATGGTGGGGAGGGCTTTTGTCAAGGGAAGCCGCTGAAGATAAGGTGCGGCGGCTAGATGAGAGATCTGCGCAGATGCGAGCGGTAATTAAGCGCAAAAGCGCTCGCAGTTTGTCGGTCCATGAACCCCAGTACGCAACTGAGCGGAGCCGCTCTGCCGACCGCAAGCCAAGGCCGCGCCGATGCACTGGCAGCTGCGCGCGGCAAAGTTGCGGCTCGGGCCGAGCGGCGGCTCTCCGCTAAATCATTCCGCGCAATCAATTATAACAGCCTTAAACATGGTACATGGCTGTTGAAATGCGCGATTTGTTTCCTTCTTTTTTTGCAATTTATTCTTTACCCACAAAGAATAAGGGCACCATGACAAACAGGTTTTGCATTTTTCCGGATGGAGCCCCCACCCGCAAACTGCCGATTTCTTTTTCCTATCCTTTGCAAGAATGTGTCAGCCAACAAATTTATATTTAGCATCTCCCCACCCCCAAATACTCAATAAACTCTAATGTTAGGTTGCGAATAATAAATGGGGAGTCAATACACCAAAAAAAACCAAGATTATTCACACACCTGAAAAGCACCAGGGGTAGTTCATACACAAAAGTTTTTGTGAGGTGCAAAAAATCCGGAAAAATGTCCCCCCCCTAAAAAAAAAGATGATTAATCCCTAGTTCAGTGCAACTCCTGTCTCTCTCTGCCCCGCCCGCCACCCGCCAACCTACCACCACCACCAACAAGGAGATGATGATTGAAGTCCCTGAAAAAGAAGTTTGACTGAGGTCCGGGACCACGGCGCGGAGCTCGCGCCGCTGCTGTCCTTTTTTTTGTTTTTTCTCGGCCGCGCATCTGACACATGCGGACACGCGCAGTCGAAGCGCACGTGTCGAGATTATGGTACGCATCGCTGTCTCGATATGTGTGGGTAGACAACGGTGGCTGGACCCACAATGTTGAGGAGGCCGAGGGTGGCGAGCAGGCAATCCCAAGCCACGGCCCAATTGCAGCTGGGACCGCCGCTCGCGCGAGGTTGGAAAAAATGCCCCCTCATCATCAAGCACTAGCCGGGATGTCCGCTGTCCAGCCGCTTGGTCCTGGAGCTGCACTTCGGCGCGGGCGTTGGAGATTAGCATGTTGCTCAGGCAGGAACCACGCAGGCCGCCGAAAGTGGACGAGCCGCAGGCAATTCTCCCGTGCCGGCAGGGGATACTGCGCGCTCTGCTCGCCTACTGTCCGCGTGGCCATCGGGACAGGTGGGAACGGCATGCTGGCGGGAAACATTTTGGAAGCAAGCGCAGGAGCACCAGCTGACCCCAGTCCCCTCGAAAGGGGCTATCAACTCTGCTGTGGGCAGAGGATTTTTCTTTTTTCGCGCATTGTTCTCCGACCGCAAGCAACGGGGTGAGACGGTGAAACGAAAAGGCAGGCTCAAGCAGGAAGGCGGCTCGGCGCCGGCTTGTTGGCCCACCTGGCATCGGCGAGCAAGTCGCTCACCGGCGGCTCCGCGCCGTCAACGCACGTCTCCCCGAACAGCGGGCGAGCGCGCGCCGCGCGGCCACTGCGAGAAGGGCACCCCAGCGACGCACATACGCCTGCGCAGCAGCTCCACGCAGCAGTTCGGGGACTCGGCGCGGCTTGGCGCGTGCGAGCAGGCGCGCAAAGGCAACCCCTTTCGGGAGCCAGCGGCCGCTAACCTCGCCCGAGGACGAGCAGGCGGCAGAGAGGAGCTCAGGGTAAGTGTGGTGGCGCTTGCGACGGCGGATCTGGCGCAGGGCGAGGCCGGGTTTGCGGTCGGCCCCTGGCCGCAGAGCACCGTCAGCTCGGACAGGGCTCACGAGGGTGGTGTCAACCGCGACCTGCACGCCGCCCCAAATGGGCAAGGCGTTCGGTTGGCCATAATTTCTGTTCCTGCTCTTCGATAATTTAGCCTCTTCGTGGTGCGTGTTCAAGGCAGCCCAAGGAAAAACGGAGAGCTTTGCGCAAACATCCCTTGAGGAAATGATGGGGTGTCCGCGACTGAAAACGGCCTCAACATCAAATGTCAATTGCAGCGACGGCAGCTCAGCTGTTGGCCATGGTGTCATCTGTGTCTGGGATGGCGTGCTCGGCTGCTTGGGGGCGCAGCTGTCACTGAGGTCAGCATCCTTACCTGCTCAAGCGGCTGGCCAGGAGCGGGGGGGCACTGGCCAGGGGTGGCAACTGAGCAGCCAAAAGCGAGGGGGAACGCGCCAAACACAACGAGCCCGCGAAATTCAGGGGGCAAGGAGTGGGCAGGGACTTGGCCAGCAGAATTCCAGATTGGGCTTTGCCGTGGTTCAGCTGTGAGACAGGACAAGGCTGGCCCAGTATAAACAAGCCGTTGGTTTCCAAGACCCCTTCCCGGGGCCGGGCCAAAAAAAAAAAAAATCCCGCGCCTTGTCCTCGATGGCCGACTCCGACCGCTTTGCTCGCGTCTCTCAAATAATTACTGGCCAGCGGAGCCGCGGCTTCAGCCCGTGGCCTCGGTCGTATCGGTTCGTTGCTCTCACACACACAATGCCCTC